CCACCCTTTTTTAAAATACAATTTTAAAATTCGATTGCATGTTGCAATACGTCAATTTCCCTATTTGGACAAAAAGAACAGGAGTACTTGTGGCACCTTAGAGACTAACAAAGGTATTTATAATGTGTTAGTCTCTAAGGTGCCACAAGTACTCCTGTTCTTTTTGCGGATACAGACTAACATTGCTTCTACTCCGAAAACTATTTGGACAATTACATCACAATTGTGGGAGTGATCATTTTAAAACCGGATTTTGAAAATCTCATTTAGCTCTTCGAAAATTAATGACCAAAAGATGACCAAATAAAGTAAGGAAAATGTAATAGACCTTAGGTTAATCATTCACTCAATACCCCGAAACAGCGGAGGGATGTCCAAAGAACTCTGATACCTTTACATTATATTGTTCAAATGTGAAAACATAGTTACTATAAATAATACATAAGAATTTACCTGGGTTAGAAATAGATCTTTGTGAAAGGGAAAGGAGGAAACTTGTCTTTTTGATTACAGAATTATTTTGCTTTTGGGTCCATTAAAATCACAGCACAGAATTTTTTTCGGGGGGAGGGGAAGAAATCCTTTTCTCTACTAGGTTTGTTTGTAGGCAGCTGAAAGGAAAAGTTATCAGGCTTTGCACAGAGCCTATACTGAAACCTGAAGCTCTCTCCTCCCCCTTCTCTACTCCAAGCCCTCAGGGCTTTTCCAAGTTAATTGTCATCTAATTGCCTATCAAAGAAAGAGATAATGGGCAGCAATTAGATCTAATGGCCCTGTAGTGTGAGCTCTCTCCCGATTAGCACACAGCACGGAATTGCTTCACCTGGTTTGAAAACAGGTCCCTTGAGTGGCTCCACAGAGTCTGCGAGCAGCAGGGGTCCAAATATTCTGGCCAAACCTCTAGTATCCTGGCAAACTACTCTGGCCAAATTGGATAAAGGCGGTTAAGCAAGCGCAGGCTGCAGACATCTCTGACATTATTGCTTTGCTAATTAAATAGTGTCCCCCCACGCTGCAGGGGCAGAGATGATTGGCAGTGGAACTTTGAAGTCACTGCTCGAGCGATTTTGCATTCTAGCTTTTTCTAGAGAGTATGGAATCTCTCCGTCGCAGATCCAGCTACCCATCAGATGTGGTGTAAAAAGCCGATGGTGGAACAATAATAGCAGTTTCACTGCGCTGCTTTTTCAAAGGAACAAGTAGCAAACTCGCTTCCACTCCCCACATACGTTACTTTCTAAAGTACAAACGGAAAACTTGACTCACTGCAATCACGCTGTCCTCAGTGAGTACACTCCAGTACTGATCGCTTATTGTGCCTGACCCCCAAATGCGATTAAAGAGACAAAAGGGGATGTTGAAATAAGGGACTTGCTCAAATCTGCTGGTGGAAAAATCCACCCAACCCTCCTCTGCAGGGTAATTCAGACACATTTTAGTTGCTATCAGTCCATGCTTTTGTGTATTAAGGCATGACCTCAGCTCTCTATCTCTCTGGCCGTTTGGAAGTGCGGACCCAAAGTTTGCTGAGGAGAGAGAATCAGCAGCTCTAATTCCTCTGTCTACTTGGTGTCCAGTGTGCTGCATAGCAACTGATCATCTTCCTCTATCCTCAAAGTAGTTGCACTTGCACTTCAGTGTCCCAACCCAAGCTTATATATAATTATTAAGCGATGTGGGTCCTTTGGGGATGGAATTCGCTACAGTGTATACTACACATTAAACACGTTACTGTCAAACTTCAGCCTTCCGTTCTCAAGTAAAAAATTAAACACTATGGCTGGAAAAAAACAAACTTGCAAAAACAAACGAGATCGGTATATGTTTTTGCAGATGCAACATATACCATATAATCACGCTTAATAAACTGGAATGAACTGTTGGCAAAAATGTATTTGCACCGTTGTTTCACGTAAACTCACTCATTTTTCTAGAGTTTAGTTAAAACAGTTCTTGGAAGTTTGACCCAGTAAACGTATCTCACATAGTCATATAGGCAGATTTTGGCATAAATCGGGCCACCGTTTCTAGTTAATGTTGCCAAATGCTAGAAGATTTCAGGCGGTTGTTGAATAGTCATTATGCAAAGTGCTCATTAGCACCTTTTTAACTGGTGACAGGGTGTTTCTGCCGTGTCTTTCTTTTTCGCGGTAGTTTCCTCCCAGCGCGCAAAACCAAAGACAAAAGAACTCCAGTTCAGGAATCATTGCAATGCACAATGATATGCTGCATTGTTTTCACGCACCCAGGCCTAGCCCTTATAGCTAAAATTTGAAACGTATCTATCAAATTTGAATATTTCCAGCTGCCTGGATGTAAATTCCACAAGTGCAAACAACGTGCGTGCATGTAACACACACACGAAATCGAGAACAATGGGGTGTTATCCCAACCGTATTATTTTGTTGTTGAAGGGAGAACGCTAGGAATGCAATTGTATGTATGCACCCCATAGCAAGGCAATACGCTTGGGGTTATATTATTGCATGATATAGTCTTAGGCTCTGGTAGGGGTAGAGAAACTGGGAATAAGCAGTTGCTATTTATCAGTTTGTGAAGCATTGTGCGTTCATTATAAAACCAGATATGGTTGTATGTGAGTATCTGCATTATGATAAAATTCTTCTGCTTTTCTAACTCAAGCCTACTTCTAAGGGGGCCCTTCTAGGAAGACAAGGGTCAAAAGCCCATTAGACAATAAAAGGAGGCCTTAGGCATAGGTGCCGGCACTAGAGGTGCTCCCGCATCCCCTGACTTCAAGTGATTTCCATCATATCCAGGGTTTACAGTTTGGCTCAATGGCTCTCAGCACCCCCACTACAGAAATTGTTCCAGCACCTCTGGCCTCAGGCGCTGTAGGGGCTGTTTGAAGAAGTAGCTTTACTGCCCTGTATGTGAAATGCTGGAGATGAGGACGATAACATACAAAGTGTCATACCTTATAGGCAGTCAGATTCCACAGCTACTGAATAGCTCGACCTTTGCAATTATTTTATTGCTCTTCAGAAGCCATTGTCATTTCGGGGTCCGTGCAACGAGTAGCTACTGCAATGGCTAACCCGGCAGTTGTCTTGGAAGTGGAAAGTCCTAAGCCCAGTTATTGAAATGAGGAGTTTTAAACAGGAGCCCAACTAGAAGGATGCGATAGAGGCAGTGCAAGCTCCTCCTTTGCGTCTCGCCCTGGGCCTGAGGTGCCTTCTCAACCCCCAGGGATGGGATCCTAGGGACAAAGTACATGGGAGGAGCTGTGAGCAGGGCAGCTATTTCTGAGTGAAATTGGGGTGGGGGGAAGAGAAGGGATAGGGGAAGATGCTATGGAAAAGAGGATTTGCTCCAGGTTTTGAATTTCTAGGGGAGCTTCCATGAGCCCTGGTTCTTCATAAAATGTGTTGTGAAAGCCAGACAGCCTGGGGGCATTTTCATCAAATAAGAAATCTGAGACCCTCAGAGCAGTCGCTTCTTCCCAAGGGCCTTGTAAACTTGTGTTATGGGCCCTGGGATGGAGTTTCCTGATTACCACTCCCATGTCTTCCCCTCCCCCTCTCATAGCAGCACTACCTGTTTCGGGAGGGCTGCGCGCTCTCCCTCTCGAGTCGGGTTTTCTGACTCATATTTGCTTCATCACCTTCTCCTCTCCTGTTTTTTTCCTTTCAGTTGTCTCCCCTTTCCCCCTTCTTTCAACCATGCTTTATCTCCTCCCTGCCAGTCAGACCAACTGCCAGGAGGCTCCCCATCCTTCAGATGAGACTGGGGAAATAATTACTGGGTGGGTCTTGAGGGCAGGCGAATTATGCCAGTCACTAACACCTTCAAACTTCATTTTTTTTCCAAGCAGGAAAAGCAGAAACCGCCCACCCCATCCAAAAAAGGCATTTTGAAGCTGAGTTCCATGCCCCGTTTTATAGTGTATGGGTTTTAGTGAGTTACTCCAATCTTTGCCTGTATAGCAATAATCCCATGGAGTATATAATAGACACAATAAAGCAGATAAATGTAGAGGCTTTCATGTAAACATGTATATTTATAGACATTGACTGTTTGACCCTCCTTAAAATTTGGCTGCTTTAGACCTGATAAGGTATCTACCATATGAAGGCTACCTTGGAGATATCTTAATACATTAATGCATTGAAGAGGTGCACTTCATAATCCCAGAAGACTGGCTTTCATCTTCCTTCTGTTGATCAATGTAGCTACTTCAGGAGGACACATTTTGCATTTCAGAAATAACGTTTACATCTACAACTAATTTAGGTTGTATTCAAAATACTTTCCTCAATGAAATCCACTCATTTTGCTTTTGATTTCTTAAAAGTTCACAGTAATAGCAGGCAAACCCTAGGCTTATTTCTTATAGCCCAGAAGAACATTTAAAGCCACAAACCTCTATTTTTCCTATTTAGCTTCCATACTAGGGATCCTGTTCAGAAGACCACTTTTTACGCATTCTAGCTCAGCACCAGGCCAGCCTATTCAGGAGTGTACAAGGGAGAAAGCAAAACAAAGCCATCTGCATGGGCCAAGCGGTCAGAGCAGCTTAAAGGGATGCGGTGTAGGAGACCTGATCTGAAACCAATGGAGTCTTTCAAAATACTTTGCGGTAGATCCTCAGTTAGTTAACTTTTTATAACTCAGTTGAAGTCAATGAAACTAGAACGATCCTTTCCAGTTCAGAGCCGCGGGGGGGGGGGGGCGCAGGTGGGGCAATTTCGGCGGCGGGGGATCTTCAGTTGCTCCGCGTCTCTGGCATCACTGAAGGGCCCCCATCCGCCGAAATGCCGCTGAAGACCCGGACTGCCGCTGGGCCAGGGCTCGCGGGGCATTTTTTTTTTGG